AATATTACCGATATTAAATCCAATTAAAGAGATTACCCCAAAACCCCAAAACCCCAAAACCCCATAAGAGGAGAATACTATGTTTATAGAGAATTATTATTTAATAATAAACACAATTCTCGTACATATACACATACATATATACAATGAGTGCAGCTTATAACTTTAAGTAAATCTAAAAGATCCCCGACGCCAATGAGTTGATTGATATCACACTTTCTAAGACTCAAAGAAAGACTCCTACTGAGATTCACGCTAACTTCAAGATTTCTAGAATCAGAAAATTCTACATGAGAAAGATCAAGTATATGCAGGAGGCCGTAAATGAAAAACTCACAGGCATTGTTGATGGATTCCCAAAGCTTAATGATATTCACCCCTTCTACGCAGATCTTATGAATATTCTCTATGATAAGGATCATTACAAGTTGGCTCTCGGTCACGTCAACAAAGCTAAATCAATTGTGGACAATGTTGCCAATGATTATGTTAGATTATTGAAGTATGCAGATAGTTTATATAGAGCTAAACAACTCAAGAGAGCTGCTCTAGGTAGACAATGCACCTTGATGAAGAAGCTGAAATCCTCCTTAAGCTATCTTGAGGAAGTTAGAAAGCATTTGGCCAGATTACCTTAGATTGATCCAAACCAAAGAACCTTGATTGTGACTGGTTACCCGAATGTCGGTAAGTCCAGTTTCATGAATAATGTCACTGATGCTAATGTTGATGTTCAACCTTACGCCTTCACAACTCAATCTTTATATGTCGGTCACACTGATTACAAGTATGCTAGATGGCAGGTAATTGATACCCCAGGTATCCTTGATCACCCACTTGATGAGAGAAACACAATTGAAATGCAATCTATCACTGCTCTTGCTCATTTAAACGCTTGTATTCTCTACTTTATCGATATATCAGAAACTTGCGGATATACTATTGAGTAGCAAATCTCACTTTTCAAGAACATCAAGCCTCTATTCTAATCAAAGCCATTAGTGATTGTACTAACAAAGATTGATTTGGTTAAGTATGGTGAGTTGGACAAGCAGACCAAAGACATGATTGAGAAGCTAGCTAAGGAGCACAACGCTTACCTTATCTAAATGAGTAATTAAAGTGGAGACGGTATTAGTGATGTCAAGCAAAAAGCTTGCGACATTCTTCTAGATTATAGACTCACATAGAAAGCTAAGGACCCTAAGAAGACTGAAGCTCTTATGAATAGATTGCATATCACTCAGCCAAAGAAGAGAGATAACATTGATAGACCAGCCATTATTCCTGACACAGTTAAATAGGGATTGAAAAAGACAGGCCCAACAATTAAGGACCTCTAAGAAGAATTTGGTGGTGCTGGAAATTTCTACATTCCAGTTGAAGAGCATTATCAACTTGAAGATGAGGAATGGAAATTCGATAGATGGCCTGAGTTTTACTTGGGCAAGAATGTAATGGACTACTACGATCCAGACATAGAAGAAAAGCTCTAGAAACTTGAGGAAGAAGAAGATAAATTATTGAAGATGGAGTCAAATGAAAACGATCTTATGGAGGATGAAGAGAACTCTGACGGAATCACTTATGATGATCTCAAGAAAGCTCTCAAGGAAGTTAGAGGCAAGAAAGCCATTTTTAAATTGAATCACAAATTGAAGAAAAATCTCAGAGCCAGATCTAAGAACAAGAAGCTCTCAGATTTGGAAGAGCATCTTGAGAAGAAAGGTATCCAAGTCAATAAAGAGTCACTTAGATAGAGAGTTAAGCAGAGAAAATCAATTGGTGATTTAGAGGGCAATTAAGACAAATTGTTCAACAAAGCACTAGACAGTGATGGCAGTGAAGACGATATGATGGATGTTGATGATGACAAAAGAGTTGGTCGTAAAAGAAAGAGATCAATGTCAATGTCAGATGATTATGATGAAGTAGATCAGGTTTCAGGCAGAGGAAAGTCAACCAAATAATCATCAGGCAAAAAGATGCGCTCCCTCACTCCAGCATAACTTAAGATCACTGCTTCTTCCAAAGTCAGATCTATGTCTAAGGCAAGAAGAGAAGGTTCAGTCCCACAACCCCATCCAACCAGAGTGGTTCCAGAAGAGCAAATCAGGCTGGCCAAGAAAATCAATAAAAGATTTAAGCATACCCTAAATATCAACGAGGCAGATAGACATATCCCCATAAAGAAGCCCAAGCATCTATACACTGGCAAGAGAAGCAATGGAAAGACAGATAGAAGATGAGCGAGATACTGTGGAAGGATGTACGTGCTTGCATTCTCAAGATTTGCAAAGTATAATAATCTAATTAACTCTATTTATTAATTTAACCTACTTAAATTCATCTATTTCTTAGTTTTAAATTGTTTACGGGGTTTTGGGGTTTTGGGGTTTTGGGG